GATGGCATTGACTTGAACTGACCAAGGCTCAGGCGAACTCCAACAAGATAGGGTGATGTTGTTACCATTGACCCATACGCTGCAGTCACCAGTCGTTTAGTCTATCCATGAGTTGTGTAGTCGCGCCAATCACGTCCGAGTAAAACGTCAGTCCCATCGAGTGTCTTAGCCAGCATTTCCTAGGTAATAGTGAAGTCACTCACACAACGGACTCGAACTCGGTCGACGCGTTCTCGAAAAGCCAGTGGCGTGACACCGACAATGTCAGAAGAGAAGTTGCACTAGGCGAAAGTACAGAGAATACAAGTACGAATGTTATTCCCTCTAAAGACTAACCCGGCATAGCCTATAGAAACATACCTAATACACATAAAACACAGTTTAACAAACCAACCGTGCAAGCATCGGTCCAGGGGCAATTGTAGTTACAGCGGACGCAATGTTGATTTGTGACAAGCTCCACCATTGACAAAAATTTTAGTAGGTCCGTGTATATTTTTCCTCTGAGCAGGATGGGATTGTCTACCACAGTGAGGGCCGGTTACACATGAAATTTCACAATGCACTGCCTTAGATAATTGCCAAACATTGACTACATGATGGAAGCAGGCCCCAAACTGGCTGTCCTGGCTGTTTCCTAACTGTGCCAACAATCCCAAAATGGTCTCTGCTCTCTCCAAAGCGATTCACAGGTACATGCTAGTGTAGTGTCTAACAAAATTGGCTCAATTACCACTTTTTGTTCTCCGCCTGGACTTTTGTCGGCAGTCAAAGCAACGGGTCCTATCGACCTCTTGGTGTTGCTGCTCCTGCAGAGCTTGCACCTGCTGGGTGAGACGACGAATTTCAGCCTGCTGCTCCAGGAGCTGTAATAATTGGGGCATGAAAACGGGTATAAATACCATGAGAAATGGGCGTCTGATGGCAGACATGAGAAGTAAGGCATGACAAGAACATGAGAGGGAAGGAGCATGACAGTTGCATGGACTCTTCAGATGCATCTCCTCTTTTAAAAGCCCAGCTGAGCATTTGAGTTGCGATAAACACATGCGCTTGAGATGCATGTTGTGTTGCATGTGCGCTTACAGAGAGCATGATGAGGTTCTGTGCCTTGGCTTGATCCACCTGCAAGCAAAAACATGGGAGGGCGGTGATTTAATGAGCCAAATGTGAGGGCTGTAAGAGTGGACAAGCCACATGGGAGGGCAGTAAGAGAGGATGAACCACGTGGCAGGGTGTTAATCGGAAGAATGACATGGGAGGAGTGAAATACTGGAAGTGCTACAACTTGTGGAAATCAAACACGGACAAACGAACAAAACAGCAAGATGAGTGCCAAAGTTATCAAATGAGCTGCCAAACCGGGAAGCAGACAGGAAGGATACAGGAAACAGTGACCCAGAGAAGGTGACAATATGGAGATGGAATGAGGAGCATAACGGCAATTACAACCTGACAGGAGACTGAAAATTGAGTTGGCTCAAGAGTCACCTCGTTACAAGGTCGTATGGAGATGGAAACGAAGACAATAAACAAAGGGAGAACACGTTAACTACTTGATGTGTAGCTGATGTACATTGCATGAAGCTCACGCCAAGCTGCTCGGACTTACATCAGGCACGTAGGCACCACCAGCACCAGAATTGCCGGTGCTGCCAGCGCGATTAGCAGCAGCAAGGGGAGAATCAGAGCTGGTTCCTAAGGCACCAACATAAGTCCCTGAAGCGCCGGAGTCAGTTCCTAAGGCACCGGGATAGCTTTCTGATGCAACTCGTTCTGACCCCACCACACCAACAGCTACATTGTGCCCCTCCCTTGACTTCTCTGCTGCACCGGTAAGTGCTGGAATAGAGTTGCTAATAGCTGGTATGGAGCTGCTAAGTGCTGCGGTGGCATGAGAGCGATGCTCTTGAGGGATGTGTGAGATGAGGCGAGATGCCACGGCCTGCGGAAGAGCACAGAGGAGATGCTGGGTGTTATATTATGCAAAGCACAAATGCTGAAAGAAAATAAATCTCCCTCCTCCTACTTGTCTCAGGTGACACAATACAGTGCACAAAATGGAGAAAGGCGAATTCTATCTGGTTTTTCTTCCAGTGGTTTTTCTTTCGATATTGCTATGCAAAAACTCTCGCTCAGTCGATGAAATTCTTCATGCATGATCGCGTGCATACACCATGCCACATCGTTCCACAACTTACCACACCACGGCACGGATTACATTCCATCCAACCATGCGACAGCACCTGCCCTGCCGTACCTGTGCAGACTGAAGCACGGATACAAGGACTTGTGGCCTGAGAATGATGCAATGACAGTCTCGAACGGAACGAGTGCATCCCTTTTTACCTGAGCGGACTGCAGCATGAAAACACGGACGGACTGCACCTCTCGTGCTGCGCCCCTGGCGCTGCAGCTCTGGTGCTGCACGCGCCATGCTTCCGTCCGTCCAGGGCAATGGAACCAGAGCATCACACGTGAACTGCAGCAGGGACGTGAGGACTTGTGGCTCGAGAGCAGTACCAACACCAATGCTTGCCATGAACGACCATGCCACAGCGTGCCACCCCATGCCATGCCACAACATGCCACAGCGTGCCACCCCATGCCATGCCACAACATGCCACAGCGTGCCACCCCATGCCATGCCACAGCACCGGCCCTGCTGTACCTGTGCAGACTGCAGCAGGGACGCCAGAACTTGTGGCTTGAGGGCAACACCGGCGCCAAAGCCATGGCCGAAACCCACTCCGCACCCCACGCCCACATCCACGTGAGGCACTCCCATACGCCTCAGCTGCAGGAGGCGGGGAAAGGGAGCGGGGAGAGGAGAGAGGGGATAGAGGGAAGAAAGGGGATAGAGGGGAGAGAGGGGATAGAGGGGATAGAGGGGAGAGAGGGGAGAGAGGGGAGAGAGGGGAGAGAGGGGATAGAGGGGAGAGAGGGGAGAGGGGAGAGAGAGAGGGAGAGAGGGGAGAGAGGGGAGAGAGGGGAGAGTGGTTAGCCCAGTCGCATCCCACACCCACATCCACGTGTGGCACTCCCAGCCCAGACACCTCAGATGGCATGAAGGAAAGGAAGGGACATGCGAGGGAATGATTGGTGGAAGAGGGTGAGTGGAAAGAAGGGAGAGAGGTGAGAGAGGGCACAGAGATAATTGCGGGGTGATAAAGAGCGGAGGGGAGGGGAACTGAGCAGAGGGCGGGGGGCGCTGACCAAAACGCGGAGGGGCGCTCACGAGTGGGCGGAGGGGAGCAGCGGCGCCAGCAGCGAGTCGGTTGAAATCACCCGCCATGGATGCCACCGCCCCTGCTCCTGGCAACGCACCTGGTGGTGGGTGGCGGTGATAGTGGGGGGGATTGGGAGAGCACAGATTGGACAGGCAGATTCTGAGCGCAGAGAGAGAGGGAGACAGAGAGAGTGGTGGCTCTTGAGGCGATTAGGAAAGTCGCAATGCGACGGTTGAAATCACCCGCCATGGATGCCACCGCCCCTGCTGCTGGCGAGGCGCCTGGCGGTGGGAGAGAGGGCAGAGAGGGCAGAGAAAACAAAAGGAAAAAAGAGCTGCCTTTTAGGCGACTCGAAAGGGGAAAAGGTGCGATTTGAGGAGACTCAAACGGCATTGTGAGTCGGTTGGAATTTCCCACCAGGAGACGCCACGGTGCAGCTGCTGCTGCTGGCAGGAAGCCTAGCGGGGAGAGAGAAAGAGTCCTACCCCGACGCGCCCTAACCCAATGCGCCCCAACCCCAATGTGCCCTACCCCGATGCGCCCTACCCCAATGTGCCCTACCCCGATGCGCCCTAACCCAATGCGCCCTACCCCACTAGCCACCCCAGTGCCCTTACCCAGGTTCACGGGCCGGCCAACGCCGATACCCACGCCGCATCCCACGCCGAACCCCGTGAACACCTGCCCCACGCGCAGCGCGAACGGATTCGCCCACCGCGCCGTCGGCGGCTCGAAATCCGACCACGATTTCGGCGGCGTGCGCGCATCGCGCAGCATCCCCGCCGATGTCGCGCCTCCGGCTGCGCTGCGCGGATCCTCCGCCACCTCCGCCATCTCCTTTCTTCCCCCCCTCCGAAGCGCCTCTTGAGGCGCGTTAAGAGTTCTCGGACGTTACGTCATGGCAACTCGATGCCCCCCCCTTCCGCAAAGAACGCAGTTTTTGCGAGTGTGCGCGGGCAGCTGCGTGCGACGATTGTGACGACAGGCGACAACGGCGACGAGGGCGACGGGGAAGAGAGGTCGACGAGAGCGACGAGAACGACGGGGAAGAGGGCGACAAGGGTGAATCTCTTGCTATTTGCGCCGTATGGGCGCGCGTTGATCCGCAGACAGAGTAATTTTGGGGGCGGAGAGAGCGGTAAATGCGGAATTGCGCGGCTCGTGGAAGGAATGCACAAATGTAAGGTGTTTTAGCGGGCCGAGGTGAGGCGGCAGGTGGCTGGCTTGGATCTTCAGGGTGAGGATTCCCCTCTATAAAGTTGACCACAGAAGCGATATAGCAACCATTAGCTCTGAGAACTCGCTAAAGCTTGCAATCTAATGTCCAAACAACTGTTTGTTATATCAAGGGATTTCTAATCGCCAAGGTTTGGGGGTTTGACTTGAAGATGCTGGTGATTCTTAGTGGCCGTACCACAGGCAGAAAGAGACATTGTTGTCATAGAGACATTGGAATCAGAACTACTAAGACAAGCAAAGGCCTCTAGAAACACAGTAAGTTACAACCGCGTTGCGCATGGGCGGAAGTCATTCTAGTTCTTATTTCCGTTACAACCGCATTGCGCAGGCCCCTTCACTTCCTCCGAGCCAATCAGCTGCTCGGACCAGTCCACGACTTGCTATGGCGCAAGGTGTTGCGAAATAGGCCCGCAACGGACAGAACTGGGGTATCGTGCGCCACTATCGTGTACGGACCGAGTCGCAACGGGCCGAGTCGCAACGGACCAGATCGCAATCTAGATGCGCGTCTTCGCCTGCCGGGCCTGCGCCATGGATCGCATTTCGCTCCCCTCGCCATTGTCACACTCGCTCGCGTCGCCTCGGGCACGCCTCGGGCCGTGGCTCCTTCCTCCCGACCGACGGACCGTCGCAGCGACATTCAATGGAGTCAACGGGGCCGACAGAGACAACAGCGTTAACAGAGTCAGCGGAGTCAACGGAGTCAACAGGGTCAGCCAAGTCAGCAGAAACAGCGACAGGGACTCGCTCATCCCGTCTCGTTTTTTCACGTCGCTATCCTCCCGCGCCTCCCTCTGCGCTAAATCCCACGTTTTTCTCCGCCAATCCGCTTGCGCCTCCCCACGACCCTCCCCCTGCCTTTCCGCCTCGCCCTCCGCTAGTATCTGGGCCAGCACGTCTTGCGCGCACCCCGGAGAGGAGACGCTGAGGCGCCCCGGCGCTCCAAGAGGAGGCGCGGGGCGCATTGGCGCGCCACTGGCGGGGCTGCAGCTGCGTGCTGCGCTCCCCCTGGTTGCGCGGGCGGAAGGCGGGGGCGAGGCCGGTGTTATCGTTGCGCGCGGCAGGAGATACAGCGGGAGGGGGAAGGGGGGAGAGGAAGAGGGGGAAGAAGAGGAGGACAGGGAAGAGTGGGATGAAGTAGGGGAAAGGGCCGTCATGCACGCAGGTGAGGAAGACGAGTTGGATAAAGGCGGCGGTAGTAGCAGCGATAGGGAAGAGAGCGGGGGAGGGGAGGAGAAGGGGGGGCGGAAGAAGAGGAGGAGGCGGAGGGAGGAGGAGAAGCAGCGGACGCGGGAGGGGGCGGAGGCAAGCAGCGGGGAGAGCCTGAGGAGGGGGGTGAGCTATGCGGAGGCGGAGAGGGTGGGGTGGGCGGAGGGGCGGAGGCGGAAGGGGCAGACGCGGGGGAAGAGGGGGAGGCGAGATTGGGCGCGGAGGGGAGACAGGGGGGAGAGTGGCCGCACGTGCCGGTGCTGGTTCGGGAGGTGGTGGGGGCGTTTGAGGGCGTGCGGTTGACAACTCTGGTTGACGGCACACTAGGGCCGGCGGCCACACTCTCGCTGTGAGTGCCGTGTGTGCCAGTAACAGGTGTGACTGTAACAGGTGGGAGGTAGTTATGAGATGCCTCAAAGAGGGCGTGTGGTTGACAACACTGGTGGACGGCACTCTGGGCGCTGGTGGTCACACGCTCGCTTGCTGGGTGTAACAGGTGTGACCGTGGTTACAGGCTAGACAGTGCTGGGTGAGATTGTAACGGGTGTGCATGTGTGACTGTATCAGGTATGAGTGTAACGGGTGTGACTCCTATAGTTGCAGAGACCATGGTTTGTTTCCCCCGTCTCTGCACGGTGTGTCTCACAGGCACGGTGTGTCTAACAGGCACCCGCTCCATCGCACTCACAAAGGGTGCTGCTGCTTCTCGCCCCCTCCTGGTCACTCTCCTGCTTACGCGTTCCCTCCTTCCTCCCCTGCAGCTGGCCCGGCACCAACCAGAGACACAGGCACACTGTTGATTCGCCTCTATAATCGATACGACTATGATGTGCATTGACATAGCACAAGTCATCACATGCCATCGCACATGCCGCTGCTTTCCTTCGTTTCCCTCTCCGTGTGAGCAGCTAGCTCGCCACCATCCAGAGCTACAGACAGACAGTGGTGAGCATGGATGGACGTGGACCGGACCCCGCAGCACATGCAATCGCTGCTGCCCTCATTGCACCTCCCCTCCATTCACCGCTGCTGCCCTCATTGCACCTCCCCTCCATTCACCGTCTCCCTCATGTGTCCGTGGGCATGTGTGTGTGCAGCTAGCCCGGCACCATCCAGAGCTACAGACGGTGGTGGGCGTGGACCCCTCAGCACATCATATGTTGCACTGCCTCCTCCCTTCACTCCCATGCCTCCGCATTTCTCCCACCCTCTTCACATCTCCCCTGCAGCTATGCCAACACCATCCAGAGCTAGAGACGGTGGAGGGCGTGCACGTGGGCCCCTCAGCACACGCCATCGCTGCTGATTTTGCCTCCCTTCACTCTTTTGCCTCTGCTCTCTCCTGTGCTCTCTCCCATTTCGTTTCTCCCCTGCAGCTATGCCAGCGCCATCCAGAGCTACAGACGGTGGTGGGCGTGGACGTGGACCCTGCAGCACATGCCATCGCTGCCGCGCGCCTGCATCCCTTCCTGCGCATCGCTGCCCCGCCAGGCGCAAAGGCAGCCAGGCCGCAAGATCTCCATGCCCACGGCCAAGCAGCAGCGCCAGTTGCGGAGTGCGGGCAGCCTGAGGCGCATGGGCAAGCAACGCTGCGAGCAGTAGAGACACCGGAAGCGACATTGCGAGTGGCGGAGGAAAGGAGGGCCACAGCGACACTGCACGTGGTGGAGGGGAATTTCCGGCGGATGGTGGAGGCATGTGCGGGCGTGGGGGTGGGGCGTGGCAGCGTGGACGGCATTCTGCTGGACGTGGGGGTGTCTTCCATGCAGGTGCGGGCTGGTTCGGTGGAGGTGGCATCTGATGCAGGTGGGGGTGTTCTGTGGCATGTGCGGGCGTGGCATGTGGGGGTGTTGTCCACGCAGGTGAAGGCCGGTTGCTCTTGTGCAGGTGGTATCTGAGGCAGGTGGTATCTAAGGCACGCGAGGGCTGCTCTAGGGGAGGTAGTTTCAGAGGCAGTCGATGGATTTTTTCTTTGAAGTGGGTTCTCCACCCCTCCTACTCCCACATATCTTTTTCTCCCTCCTTTCTGTCCTTACAAATAGTTGTCCCTCTGCGCTGCCCCTCTCTCTCCCCTCACAGATCGACAGGGCCGAAAGGGGATTTAGCTTCTTAAGGGATGGGCCGCTAGACATGCGCATGGACCCTAAGGTGAAACAATTCATTGGATTTTAACTGTCTGTACATGTCATGTGTGTTGTATGTGCTCCTGCTGCTTACTTCCCTCTCGTCTCTTTCCATTTCAGCTCTGCCTCCCCCCTCCCCTTCCACATTCACATTCACCACCCATGTCCCCTTCCCCCACCACCAGAGCCCCCTCACCGCTGAGGTTGCAGTTAACAATTGGCCGGAGGAGGTCTTGGGGCAGATCTTGAGAGACCTGGGGGAGGAGCGGCGGTGGCAGCAGATTGCCCGGCGGATCGTGGAGGCGCGGGGGAGAGGGCGCATCAGCACCACCACCCAGCTCGCTGCGATTGTGGCTGGAGGGGCATATGGGCCTAAGAAAAGCACAGGTAGGCTGGGTTGATGCGATCTCCCTCCTATTGCTCCAATCTCCCTCTTGCACATGCCCTGCCCTGTACGTCCCCTCCCAGCCTCATCATCCCGCCGTCGTGATGGAGCAGGCACGCGCATCCACTCACCCGCACCTTCCACACTCTGCCAATTGTCTCATCTGGCCTCCTGTTGCGCCCATCTCCCTCTTGACATCCCCTCCCGCCCCTGGCTCCCAGCCTCGTCCCTCCGCTGCTGTGGTCCAGGCACGCGCATCCACCCGGCCACCTGCACCTTGCAGGTGCTCTCCATTGTCTCATCTCACCTCCTATTGCGCCCATTTCCCCTCTGCACATCCCCTGCCCTGTACGCCCCATCTCAGCCTCTTCCTCCCGCCGTGGTGGTCCAGGCATGCGCATCCACCCGGCCACCCGCACATTCCAGGCTCTCCGCATCGCAGTAAATGACGAGCTTGCCGCCCTGGCGCTCGCCATTCCCGCTGCCCTCTCCCTGCTGGCGCCGGGCGGCCGACTGGCTGTCATCTCCTTCCACTCGCTCGAGGATCGCATCGTGAAGCGAAGCTTCCTGGAAGCTGCCGCCGGCGTGCCTGTGCCCATGCCTGTGCCAGTGCCCTTGCCAGTGGCCATGCCTGTGCCAGTGTCTGCACCAGGAGTAGGGAGCAGCAGTGGCTTGGAAGGGCATGGGCATGCGAGGTACCGGGTGGTGACGAAGCGGCCGGTGGTGGCGGAGGAGGATGAGTGGAGGGTGAATGCACGCAGCAGGAGTGCCAAGCTGAGGGTCGTCGAGCGAGTCGCTTGACAGGAAGTAAGGCGTTGCATTTACACGGTACTGGGAGGGTTCAATGTAGGTTTGATAGTGCTTACATGGCCTTGTTGCAGCGGTGGGGCAAGGGAGGCTGGGGAGTGAAGGGAGGTGCAATGGTGTATTCCTGTACAAAAAAATGCTGTAGCTCTCTCACTTTCCTCGGGTGGGGATACGGTAGGTGATAATGCATGCCTGAAAGTTTTTAAGGATTGATACGGTAGTAGTATCAGGCGTGTATGTCTATGATCTTGTATAAAACATAAGTTTGTTCTCAAAATCACAATCTTCTTAAATCCTTGCTTCCATCTGGTTACATATTTTACTTCTAGTTATTATTTGTCACAAAGAGATAGGATTAACATGGTTACATGCTAGTTTCAGATCCACGTCATTGTCAACATTACTAACGAGATACACTATCACGTACAAACATCAGAAGCCTTTCGTTATACGAAAATCTTGTGTGTCTGGCATCTCGCCGATGCCGAACCATTGGCTGAAACAAAAGTAACTTTTCCATAGTTCGCGAACCTCGTCAAACGCGTCAAACGGGAGTTGTTTCTCTAGCTGTTTCGTGAAGAGTCGCTCTTGGAAATGACAGTTGCTGTCGCATGGATATGAATGACGTGGCGATAAGACCTTTGCGCCATCCACCACCCATTCACAACCTTCCCGCCCCGCCAAACCCGCCTGCGCCACTCAATCCCTGTCCCCCCCTTGCCTCCGATCCCATCACATTCACCCCCCACGCTCTGCGTGGCAATCCCTTTGCGCCAACACCCCTTCCGCCGCAACTGTTTCCGCCACAATCCGTCGGTTCATCCGCCTACCCTCTGGCCTCGATTCAATTTCATCCCTCGATTCCTCCACTCAGTCTACACTACACACACACACACACACACACAGGACTCTATTCCCCTTGATCCCGATTCCCGACTAAGCCAGTTCTTCTCATTCTTCCTGCTGGTAATTGTGATCTGGTCCGCAGCAGTTTTTTGTTCCGCCAGATCCTCACACCCGCTCTCCGCCGTTTCACTCACGAGTTACTATCGCCATGGCAGCGTCTACCGCGTGCACGCTCGGTGCGGTCGCCTGGCAGGCAGCCGCCAAGGCCGACCGCGCGGCGGAGCTTCTGTCCTCCGCCAGCTGCGCTTCCACGAAGTCGCTTCGGGTCGTGCCTGCCGCCAAGGCCTCTCTCCAGGTCCGTGCCTCACTGCGCCTCGCTGCGTCGTGACGTAAGGGGATGGCTCCTATTTTGAGCCAAATCAGCGCCAAGTATGATGGAGAGAAATTGGACATTCACGCAAGCTAATAATAACCTCCTGAATTAGAGAGAATGGGTAAGAGGTGCAGATTGGGATTGCAAAATTGAAGCGCCTGTATGATCGTAAGAAAGCGGTGGCGTCGGCACAATACGGGTGCTGCTTGATCGCATGTTTGACATGCCTCCTGCGCATGCCTTTTCCCCAGCTCCCCCACGTATTCAACGGGAGGTTGCGATTGACCGTCAATAGTAAGCTCGCAATGCAATCGTGTATTGTTCCGCCCAGCGTTTAGAGATGATACAAATTCTTCTGTTCCACTTGGTCGCCACGTGGCCACTCGACATATCGGCTTCGCCACGTGGTGTCGACTTGTTTCCCTTCCTTGCTAATTTCACCTTCCTCACCTCTTCACCTTGTTACATCATCACTCAGTCACCTCGCAATCCCGCCGCCATCACATCGCAATCGTCTCGCCATCTTTTCCTCCCCGCGATTCCTGCAGGCCAGCGCTACGTCGCGACGGGTCACTCGATGCGCCGCCGCTGACAACGTAAGTGAGCCACCTGTTCTCGCCTCGCCGTGCTGCCGCCCACTGTCCGCGTTGCCTCGTTACGTCCGCTTTGCCATTTGCTCTCTATCCTCCCGGCTGCATCCCACTCGTCACGAGTTTTGAGGCGGCTCAAAACTCCGTCCGCTTTGTCCTCTGCTCCTTGTTCTTCCGGCTGCATCCCACTCACCATAACTCTTCCGGTTATACCCTCCCCTTCTCTCCCTTCCCCCCCCATTACCCCCATTCCCCCCCCCTTCCCCCCGCCCCACCATTTTCCTCCCCGCGCCTCCTTCCGACTCCACCCTTTCCACCATCACCCCCCCACCTCTCGATCGCATCGCTGTACTCCATTCTCTTCGCTTCTCGTGCTCGGCCGTTCCGCCTTTCCCTTGCCCCGTCATCACGTGTGCACCCGCGCCTGTCGCACACTCACGCTCGAACACACGCTCGAAAGCACCCGTGTGCGGCACCTTTTGCTGCGCTTCTGTCATCCGCGTCGCTGCTTCCTCCATCCATCAATTGCGTTACCCATGCAGCAACACCATCCGCTCTCACTCACACGCACGCGCCTCACCTCTTGACTCTGTACCCCTCAACCCGCCTCCTTCCGTCTCTCCCCGTCTTTCCGTTTTTTCCTTAATCCGTCCTCCAACGTACCTATCTCGGTCTTGATCAACCCCTCCCTCGCTCCAGACAACGGCAGCGGCTGCGGCGGCGTCGGAGACGCCAGCGGCGGAGATCACTGACACGTCAGCGTTCATTGCCGATGTTTCGAGCCTCATCAAGTGCGTTTAATCACCCTGTTAGCATTAATATTCACTAGCCGACGCGTCATTCGCGCCTGGACTACACAATTGTCCGCGGTGCAGCTCGACGCGCTTCGCTATAATTATCGACCTCTCTCATCGCTGCTCTTTCCCTTTTCTAGGCCGTCAGTTTCCGTTCCATATGTTTCTTCGTCCCTTCTCGTTCCGTTGTTCTGTCTCCCAATTTCCCCTCCCACACCCCCTTCCCCCCTCCTTTTCCCCTTTCTGCTCACACTCGTGAATTTGCGGAACCCTGCGGCGCGCATTTAGGCGGACCATCCTCGAACCCCCATAGAAGTGTCCCCTCGTTCACGAACCCCCACCCCTCATTTTCCCTGCCTGTGCCCAAGTCAATGGATTCGGGGGCCACATTTTAGCGGAGCTCAAGCACCCGAAGCAGACAATTGTTCGCGGCGCCTAAAGAAACACGTGGGGCACAGTAGAGCGGAGCTCAATCTCACTCGCGAGCAACGTTCCACTTGATTGGAAGCCCTCATGCCGTCGTTCTCCCCTCACTTTCCCAACCTAAACCTCTCCCCTTCCCGCTTCCCCTTCCCCTTCCCCTTAACGCTTCCCCTTCCCGCTCCCCTCCCCCTTCCCTTCCCCGTTCCGCGCAGGCTGGTGGATTCGCGCGACATCGTCGAGCTGGAGCTCAAGCAAGGGGGGTTTGAGATCCTCATCCGCAAGAAGGAGGCGCTCCCCGCGCCCGCCGCCCCCGCCGCGCCTGCCGCGCCCGCGTACCCCGCCTACCCCCCTCCCCACATGATGGCGCCGTTCCAATACGCGGACGCCCCGGCTCCCGCCCCCGCCGCCGCCCCCGCGCCTGCTGCCAAGCCCGCTGCTGCTCCCGCCGCGCCTGCGCCGCCTCCGCCCGCCGCGCTTCCGCCCATGGTTTCCCCCATGGCTGGCACGTACTACTCCTCCCCCGCCCCCGGCGAACCCCCCTTCCTCAAGGTGAGTGGGATCCGTTGGTCAAAGAGAAGCCTCTCGTGGTCAACGCGAGGTCTCCCCTGGTCAAGGCAAGGCTTGTTCCTCTGGGCGCGTTCCGATTTTTGCCTTCCTATGTCTCTGCTCCCACCCTTCCCTGCGCATCCACTCCTGCCCAACCCCACCATAAGTCACTTGTGCTTTCAATTGTGTGGGCGTTACGTTTTTCCATGGCATGTTGGCGTGCTGGTGTTGATATGCTTGGGACGTTGATGGCCTGATGGCATGGGGCATGGCATGGGACATCGGATGGGATGGATAACTTGACTGCCATTGCGTGGCATGGCGTGGCAGGTTGGGGACAAGGTGACCAAGGGGCAAGTGGTGTGCATCGTGGAGGCCATGAAGCTCATGAACGAAATCGAGGTGCGTGCGAGTGGTGCAAGGAAACACGGTGTGTGTGCTGCTGCTAGATGAGGGTCGCCAGATTCGATTGTTGTTTCACCCTTGGGTTATTGGAACCAATCTAGTCGTTTCCATGTGTGAGGAGCTGACCACATGACCTCCACTTGGCTTCCCATGTGCAGGCGGGTCTGGCAAACGGTGGTAGCGATTCTTGCAGAGGATGGCAAACCAGACTTTTGACATGTCTCAACATTTAACTGATTTTTATGCCAGAAACGCTGACCGCATGACCCTGTGCCTCTTCATTCCCGTGTGCAGGCGGACCAGTCAGGCACGGTGGTGGCCATCATCGCAGAGGACGGCAAACCAGTGTCTGTTGGCGCGGTAAGTCCCCGCCCCGCTCACACACCCATTGTGTTGTGATGGGAGTGATTTGCCCTCCCTTGTTCAGGCCCCTTCCTTTTTGTCCTCTCCCCCGTTCCCATGTTTTTTGCTTTATTTAATTTTCCACCTAGTGACCTGTTTTTACCGCTTCCCAAACACCCCCATCCACACTACCTCAAACTCTCTCCTCTATTCCTCCACCCATATCACATTCCCCTTCCTCCCAACCCTCTCCCTGCTCTCGATCTGAATGTGCTCTTTTGCAGCCTCTCTTTACAATCAAGCCATGAGCGCCAGTGCAGCTTCCCTTTTATTTGAATATATAAAATCATTTCCAGCTGGGAACAGCGGTTAATCCTTAGCTCTTGTTTCTGAGCTAATTTGGCATGTACCGCTCAGAAGCATTTTTTTGTTGCATGTTCCAGGCCTAATTTGCCTGCGTGCTGTAGTTTCTGGATAGAATGTCTCAAAATAATCCTGAACATCCTGTTGGCCAGTCTGTCAAAGCATTTTTTTTTGAAAGATTCTCAACTCCAGTTTCCAGGATTCGCAAATGCTTGCCTTGGTTTTGATGCATTACACTGCGTGTACCGGTCTTCGATAAGCAATTTCGTTTCATGCATTGCAAGTGAGAAACTCAGAATGGATAGGATGGACAGAGGCCATCAACTTTCACCATTAGCACAAGAAACAGAAATATTTTTGGACTGCATTTATTGAATGTAGCACGGCCCAATATACATGCGCACACAGCAGCACCAACAGCCCAAGTGCAGAGGCAACCACAGCATGGACTGCACACAAGCAAGGCCCACCCACGAGCAAGGCCCAACCACACTCCAACCATCCCCATCGCACTGCCGCCATCACTTCTGCAATGCACTCCAACCCCCCTGCATTGACCCAACATGATCACTTTCTCTACCAACCAAGAGTGCTGAGCCACAAACCCCCACCCACCAACTCGTTGCTCGCTCCATCACTGCATCAACCACCGCCTCCCACCGTTTCACCCCGCATACCACTGGCAACAGCAGCAGCAGCAGCAGCAGAACCAGCATTGGTTGCTTCGCACACATGTTCCCAATGTGGAAAGACACACCACAGCAGCTGCCCTGCATTTCCATAAAACCCATCCTGTGCCAAGGCGCTTACATTGCCCCTCCCATTCCTGTTTTTGAGTCGACTCAAAAACAGCAGCTGCCCTGCGTTTCCATACCACCCATCGTGTGCCAAGGAGCTTCCAACGTCCCTCCCATTCCACTCTCCCTCCCCGCATTCCCACTGCATTCACAAGCTGTCGTGGCACATCCACAAGCTGACATGGCAGTTGGAGACCGATGCTGATGTCACAAACCCATGTGGGGAAAGGAGAGATGGTACTTGGTCACATAGAGGCAGCAGTAGAATGGCTCACATCACATCACATGCCATCTGAGGGGGTTGAGCCCATCAGCGGATGTGACTTCGTTCTGACGCGAGCATCGACGAGCTTTGGGGACCCTGGAGTGTGGAGAGCGGTGGAGAAGGGTGGGGGGATATGGAAAGAGGGATGGAGAGATGGAGGATTTAAGGGGAGAGGATGAGAATCCGGCAGGGAGGGAAGCACGTGAGTGGGGCCATCTATGCATGTGGCAGCGTTCATGTGCCAGCTTTCATCAGTCCGGACTGCGAGGTGCTCAGATAGGCAGCACAAGAGGGGATAAAATAGATCGGAGTGATAAGACGGGCAAGGGACAAGGCAGCCCGGAGGCATCATAAACGAAATCCAAATGCTGGTGGGTCAATATGTGCGTCCATGGGCCAATAAGTGAGTGCATGAATGTGAATGACAGTGTTGCATACCTGTGACTTGGTTCCCGGAAAGACGTTCCAAAACCGAAGGGTCTCGTCGCCTGCTCCCGTTACAATGGTCTGTAATGGTAAGGGATAAAGGGGACAATGGCTGTGATTGTATCAAGATGATAGACCGGGGGGGTGGTCTGTGCTTAAAAGAAGCGTGATCCAACACAATCGAAAAACGCTGCATCTGCTGCATAAAATGACATATTTATGTTTTAAGTAAACATCCTTGCACTATACTTAACCTGGATGGCAAGAACCAGAGTGGCCTTGTGTGTCAAACCAAGAGCCATCCCCCGATATGCCTAGATGCTAAGCATTTTCACCAGACAAAAACTTTTTCCAGGTGAGAGGCTGGTAAGATTCTGCTAAAAGACACACTTGGCTGCTAAAGGACGCACTTGACCATTCTACCAGACCGCTAGAAGACGCACCTGGCCGTCCGGTGACACAGCGAGGAAGAGCACCCGCATGGTGTGGCCGGTTAGGGTGGCCAGCTGGCAAGAAAAGGACAAGAAAACGCAGGATGATAGAAACATGAGTTAAATTTGCAGTCTTTTTTTCTTCTGTCTTTTTTATGCATTTCAACCGTGGCTGGTGGCAGCAGACTGTGTTCAGTGTGCGTGAAAGTTGATAAAACGTTTGCCATAAAAGGTGATTACCTTCGCCATGGAGGGGTACTTCCAGACAACGACTTGATTCTGCGAGTAGCCGTGTGTGCTTGCTAGCTCGTTGGCATTTCGCGACCAGAGGAGGTTGCACACCTGCATGCATGCATGCATTCGGGACGTGCGGTAACATATGAGCGCATGCCAGCACATGCACGCACCCATTCAAAGATGCATCAAAGCATCCGCATGTGCAGAGACACACACATGCACGGATGCACAGAGCACACACATGCCCACAGATGCATGCATACACGTTGGCAGGCACAGAAAAAGGCAATGTTGAGAAGGAGCACCAATGGGTGGAGGGGAGTACCAATGGGTGGAGGGAAGTGCTGATGGGTGGAAAGGAGTGCGAATGAGTGGAGGGGAGGGCGAGAATGGAAGGTAGGCACGATGAGAGAGACACACACAGCCACGTGAAGGGAAGAGAGATCGATCCAGTCAGGTTCCCAACTGGGCCCTGGCTACCAGTGTCGACATACGACCAGGGCGGGGCAGTAGCGGTGCGCCTGAATCAAAAGCAGCGGTCGAGAGCGGTCAACAGACCCAGGCCAGAGGCATGGCAGTGGCAGTGTTCCAGAAGCGGACGCAGCGGTCAAGAGAGGTCGAGAGCGGTCAAGAGAGAAGACAAATGAGAGAGATGCCGACCTGGCTACCAGTGTCGACCCTCGACAGAGGCGTGGCAGTGGCGGTGTTCCAGAAGCGAATGCAGCGATCTGCCGTACCGCCTCCCGACGCGAGCAGGCCGTGCTGGTGCGGCGACCAGGCGATGGCCTTCACTGCTGCCTGGTGCTGCGTGAACCGCACCACTGGTTGTTGTGAGGTGAGCACACTCCAGATTAGCAGCTGTAAGAGGGAGAACGGGGCAGGGAGGAGGGAGGGGAGACAAAAGAACACAAGGGAGGGGCGTGTTGAGGGGTGGTAGACGAAACGTGCTGGTGCGGCGACCAGGCGATGGCCTTGACTGTCGCCTGGTGCTGCATGAATCGCACCACCGGCTGCCGTGACGTTAGCACACTCCAAATCAGGAGCTGTTGAGGGGAGAGGGGTCGGAGGGGGAAGAGGGGAGATGGGAAGGGAAGGACGGGGACAGGGGGAAGGGGAGCTGTGAGCTGCATTACTAGATCCATAGGCGAGAGGGACGTGCGGTCGCCACTGCACCTGCCCCTGCCTCCGCCTCACCTACATTGTCATTCCCTCCAGAAGCCAGCTCCCTATCGTCACGCGACCATTTCAATAAGAACTCACTTCGTCCCTCTGCACCACACTGCACCCTATGCTGCCCCTGAACCCACCACAAATACACACCTGGTTGTCATTGCCCCCGGAAGCCAGCTCTCTGTCGTCAGGCGACCATTTGAGCCCGCACACTTCGCTCCTGTGAGCAGTGAGTCGAGCAACAAAGTCCACAGGAGAGCGCACGTCCCGCTGCAGCACGCTGCGGTCGCGGCTGCCTGTGGCGAGCACGTTCGCCGCCCACGCCATGGCTCCCACTCGCACCCTGTGCCCGCCCATGGACCGCACCCGACGCCCCTTCACCACGTCCCACACCTGAGAATCAATGGAGGGGGGATTTGAGGGGCGAGGCAAACACGCTCGTCTATTGGTACCCAACCCGTCGTTGCTTCATCCCACACCCCTGCACATGCTCCCCACGCACCCCAACGCACCCCAACGCGCCCCAACGCGCCCAAATCCACATGCACGTGCCCCCCACACCCCGTCACATGCTCCCCACTCCCCTTCACGTGTCCACCACACACCTGCACGTGACCGTTGTTGGTCCCGACGGCCAGCAGCGTGCCGCGCTGCGTCCAGCTCACAGAGCACACAGCGTCGCTGGGGCCCACGTCCACCAGCTTCGTCACCTGCGCAAGGGGGAGGGGGAGGGGGGGGAAAGGCCGGGGAGGGGTGTGCGGAAGAGGGGAAGCGCACGTCGGGAAGGAGAAGGGAACAAGAGAGTGGTCTTAAGACGTCCAGCCGACGGAGCACACGGCGTCGATCGGGCCCACTCCACCAGAGTTGTCACCTGCGCGGGGTGGGCGCAAGCAGAGGGGCGCGCAGAATGGGACACGCGCGCAAGGTAAAGGGCGCGTGGAAGGGAAGGGGCGTGCGGGGTGGGATTGAGAAGGGAGTGCTTCTGAGCCGTCCAGCTGGCGGCGATCGCGACGACGACGGAGTGCCGGCTTCAGCTACGATCGGGACCAATGGGAACGCACGTGCAACCAGCCAGCCAGAAAGGCCGTCACATGCGATTTAATTGTCGGCTCAAAAAGCCTTCAGCTCCGCTCGGGACCCATGCGAACTCGCGGATAACCATCCAGCCAGCCCTGTCTCGTGCGCGCGTCCACGCGCGGGGTAATAGCGTGCGCACGCGCCAGTCAGCGGCATGCGCGTGCGCCAGACAGTGGCATGTGTGCGCGCCAGACAGTGGCACGTGCGCGCGCCAGTCAGCGGAATGGTCAATAGTGAAGGTAACTCCCCAGCTGCCACCCTTATCGCTTCAACAAATCTCTACACCCGTCCCTTTTCCCCGTCAACGGCACTGACGCAGTTACGCCCTCCCGCTCGCCTCCTCCCTTTCCCCTTCTCCGTCTTCCCGCTCGCCTACGCCATTCCGCTCGCCAGCGCCATTCCGCTCGCCAGCGCCATTCCGCTCGCCAGCGCCATTCCGCTCGCCAGCGCCATTCCGCTCGCCTACGCCATTCCGCTCGCCAGCGCCATTCCGCTCGCCTGCGCGCCATTCCGCTCGCCTGCGCGCCGTTCCGCTCGCCTGCGCCTCTCCTGAACCGGAGCTACCTCCTGATCTCAATAACACCTCATTACTTTCCCGTACTCGGCGCCTCATTACTTTCCCGTACTCGGCGCCTCATTACTTTCCCGTACTCGGCGCCTCATTACTTTCCCGTACTCGGCGCCTCTAATCACCCTGATGTCGGCAACGTCCTTTGAATCATCGCTGCCGGCGGCATAACAAGGGTATCTGATCTAAACGCCTTGCTCCCTGTCAGCGGCGCTCCTAATCGCGATATTGCTGCTGGCGGCACTCCATAGTGAACTCGTTTAACAACCTTGCTGCTGGAAACACTAAACTGCCTTCGCGCAAACGTATCTAAATTTAACTACCTTGCTGCTAGCGGCGCTCCAGAGGTAGACGCACGAGCCGAGCCCCACGGCGAGCACGTTAACGACCTTGCTGGCAGAGCTGCTAAGTACCTTGCTGCTTTGCTGGCAGCATGTAATCACCTTGCTGCTAGCGGCGCTCCAGAGGTAGACGCACGAGCCGAGCCCCACGGCGAGCACGTTGGTGGATGACCAGTCGACCAGGTTCAGATAGAAATCGTCCTGCAGTGCTGGCGCGTCGAGGACCTGATGATGGGGAAGGAGGAAGGGGGAGGATGAAGAGGTGACGAGGAGTGCAGTGAGCGCGTTAGCGGACGACCAATCCACCAGGTTCAGATAGAAGTCGCCCTGCAGCGCGGCCGCGTCGAGCACCTGGTAAAACAGGGGACGGGTAGAGGGGCAAGGAGTGTTGTCAGGCGCGGGGGGAGGTTCGACGACGTTCGGATAACAATCGTCTGCCGCGTTCAGCACCTGCGGGGGCGGGAGGCGCGAAAGGGCGGTAACGGAGTGGGGGGGCGGTGGAGAGAGGCGGCGAGGAGCGGAGAAGCGGGCGGGAGGACACGGAGGTTGGCCGCGGGGTGGACGCGGGGATGGCCACAGGGGAAGGCGGGCAATTCGAGGGGAGGGCACATGCACGAGAGGTGAGCGGGATGCAACTGGCGTCACCAGCGACTGGTTGGCCGCTAGGCGGTCCGAACGTTGATAACCCTACGAACGCATGGATTTGAGACGTCTCTAATGCGCAATCGAGCAGCGACCAAACGCTCGGTGCGTGAGAGGTATACGGTGAGCCTGATAACGGGCGACATATAACGAGAGGAGATGAGAAGCAAGCGAGAATATTCGGCGCGCCGCGAGCGAGCGCACCTTGAACGGCGATCTTGCAATTTTTCGCGGCGCCTTTTTGGGGCTGAACGGCAGCCCGCACAAGGCGGCGTCCAACCCTATGGGCGACAGCGACAGCGGTGAGTCCAGCCCGCTCCCCCCGCCGTGATCCGCGGCGCCGCCTGCGCTGCTTGCACCGTTAATATATCGGAAGAGATTCTTCGGCGCGAGGGGGGAGGAGGATGAGGAGTAGGGGGAGGTAGCGGCGGAAAGCAGGGGGACGCGACACGGTCTGCCGAGCACGCAATCGGACTCTTGCGCGGAACTCGATCCTAGCGCAGGCGGCGCGGAAAGCTGCCCGCCGAGCAGTTGCGACTTGAGCAACAGCGAGTACGCCGCTGCGCTGTCCTCCCGCCCCTCGGGGCCCGCGCCGAAACCGTGCGACGTTTGCGGAGGGTCGCCGGGGCGGTCGAGGAGCGGGAAAGAGAAGGCGAGCGACGACGAGCGGCTGGGAATAAAGCGGTCGCTGTACGGCGCGGTCCGAAACGGACTAAAGGACGGAGAGGGCGCTTCGGGCAGTGGCGCCGCGTCCGTCGTGCGGTAGATAGGGACCTCTTGATAGGCCTTGGCAGTGCTGCCGTTCGAGGAGTACGAAGAGGTGGACGGCGACGAGGAGGAATCGGCGGATTTGTTGGAAGAAAAGAACGTGGAGGATGTCGGGAGCAACGCGGGCTCCGCTGAATGCTCCGTGGCGCCGTGTGCGGTGATTAATCGCGAATCCACTGCCATCTGACTAGCGCCACTACTTCTGTCGGCCATACTCGTTTGCTTAGGAAATTCCTTCAACAATAGACCAGAGCAAAACTGTGAGCGAAAAACACGAAAACTATACTGAAGCGGCACCTAGCAAGGGTTGTTGGAACGAGCGCCATGGCTGTTTTGTTCTGTTCTGTTCTGTTCTGATGCCCCAACGCCAACGAGGGGCCATCCGCATCCCGTACGAAACCAGGCAGCGGAGCGCAGCGCAACATTCCCCTCTTCTTCACCTGCGCCCTCCCCGTACATGTAGCGGCAGTCAGCTGTCCGCGGGACTTTACTACGCCCGGAGGAGTGTGTGTGGGTGAGGTAGGGTGGGTGTTTGGTTGGGAGGGGGAGAGTGGTGCGGAGAGCTGGGCGGGGCTGGTAGGGGCTGGCTGGAGGGGGCTGTAGGGGAATACTTGCTAAGGAATTCGAGCACGTAGGGTCGGTGTACCTGCGCTGGCGACGGAAGCGGAGCTCCCGCGAACCCTGAAGTAGGTCTGAGAGGGTAGGGGGAGGGGCTGGTCGTACAGTCGCACGCGATTTCGTGGTTGTCAAGAGGAGCGTCGCATCGGCCACGGAATCGCAGCCTCCGCGTGGACGACGGGTTGCGAAGTCGTAAGTGGAGTTCCTGAGGTTGGTTGGGGGAGGAGCCACCCGACATTCCGTGGCACCCACGTCGGGGGGCGAACCGCTTTCCGAAGCGCTCATCCATCGCATGGAGCCCCACCATAGGTTGGCAGCCTGACCCAGCCGAGGGAATATCACTGAGATTATAACGAAATAGGCTCGGATTAAAATATTCTCGCAAACAAATGCTACATGCAAATTTAATCTATAACATATGGATGTACGGTATGAAAAGCTTTACTAATCACTCCATAAGGAGTAGTTAGTAAGGACACGGGCACTCCCACCACATTTGCGTGATCGATCCTATGCATGATCGTTTCATTACAGGTTTTAGAAAGGATAGAAGGGTTTTTAAATTGTAATTGCAGGTTTTCAGTGCAGTGTGGATTGAAATCTCACTTTCGATCGCCGGAATCGGTGCGAGTGTCCGCGTCCAAGTACCTGTACAAAACACCTTAAAACGAGGGTCTATATTTGCCTGGCGGAGGTTCAGAAGTTTTGGTTTTGAACCAGGCTTGCCAGCGCGAAAGTGTTGGCTGGCGAAAACCTGGATTTCGTGTAGACAATTTTCCTCTACAGTAACAGTTCGCCATGTCAAATCATAATGTTATGTAGGCTGTAGTGGGGTAGCCTATATGGGGTACACATTTCTAGGGTTGCATATTTGTACCACTTTCCATTCCTAAGTGCATTCATTCTCGTTTCAATTCTCACATGGTATCGAGCAGGTTCCCTCGTGGGAACTGTGCCTAGGGCCCACCAAGTCGAAATTTTTTTTTTTCTGCCCGGAGTCGCGCTCCCTTCTCTGACTTCGTCGAGCCGCCCTAGCGGCCAAGTCGCGCCGCCTTAGCGGCCCCTGATTCGTCGCCCTAGCGACCCCGTCGCCCTACCTACGACCCTGGCCCCGTCGCCCTACCTGCGCCCCGGCCCCGTCGCCCTACCTGCGCCTCGGCCCCGTCGCCCTACCTGCGCCCCGGCCCCGTCGCCCTACCTGCGACCCCGGCCCCGTCGCCCCCCCCCCCCCCCTTGCGACCCTGGCCCCGTCGCCATACCTGCGGCCCCGGCCCTAGCCCCGTCGCCCTACCTGTGCCCCGGCCCCGGCCCCGTCGCCCTACCTGCGCACCGGCCCCGTCGCCCTACCGTCAACCCGGCCCCGTCGCCCTACCTACGACCCGACCCCGGCCCCGTCGCCCTGCCTACGGCCCGGCCCCGTCGCCCTAACTTCCACCCGGCCCCGTCGCCCTACCTACGGCCCGGCCCCGGCCCCGTCACCCTACCTACGGCCTGGCCCTGGCCCCGTCGCCCTACCTTCGACCCGGCCCCGTCGCCCTACCTGCGCCCCGGCCCCGGCCCCGTCGCCCTACATGCGCACCGGCCCCGTCGCCCTACCTTCGACCCGGCCCCGTCGCCCTACCTACGGCCCCGCCCGAACCGCCTACGCAGCCGAGCCGCCCGCGCCGCTCAGCAGCCCGAGCCGCCCGTTCCGCCCGAGCCGCCCGAGCCGCTCGAACCACTCGAGCCGCCCGAGCCGCCCGAGCCGCCCGAGCCGCCTGAGCAGCTGAGGAGCCGAGCCGCGGGCGCCGCCGAGCCGCAGTTGCTGCCGAGCCGCCCGAGCTGCCCGAACCGCCCTGTCTGGTGAGCGCAGTGCCTATGTCACTGCACTGCCCCTGCTCTACAGTCAGCGCTGCTAGTCTACTGCTGTCATGGCTACCCCTAGTGTCCTCACTTTTGACGTCGAGGGTCGAGCCATTGACTTTTACGTCTGGATAGATGACCTGCAGCTGTTCTTACAGTGCGATAGGGCAGACGGACTCTCCCTCTTTGACCTCACCTCGGGTGCCTCTCCTGCTCCTGCTGCTGATGCTGACGCCACTGTTCGCTCACAGTGGGCCACGCACGATGCTGCTGCACATCTTGCTGTGCGTCGCCACCTCCCTACCTCTGAGCGTGCGCACTTTAGTCAGTACAAGAGTGCTCAGACCCTGTACGACGCTGTAGTTGCACGCTACTCCTCCCCTGCCACTGCTGCGCTGAGCCGTCTCATGCTACCGTACCTCTTCCCTGACCTTGCTGCCTTTCCCACAGTCGCTGACCTTATTACGCACCTCCGCACTAGTGACACTCGCTACCGCGCTGCGCTTCCTGCTGACTTCTGCGCCAAGAACCCCCCCCCATGTACATCACTCTCTACTACATAGTCACTCGCCTCCCTGACTCCCTTCGCGTAGTCAGGGACCACTTCCTCTCAGTCTGTCCCACCACTCTCACTGTTGACCTCCTCGAGAAGTCCCTCCTAGCGGCCAAGAAGAGCATAGTCGCTGTAGGGGCCTCTCGTGGTGACCCGCGCACCCCCATCTTTGAGGGGTGTTCCCCCTCCCCCCTTCTGCCCTCTGTTGCCTCTGCTGCTGCGGCCGACCTCCTTGGTCTTGAGTCGGTCGGCGCGGCGTCTGCCCCTAGCGGGAGACGCCGCTCTGGCAAGGGCAAGGGGGGCAAGGGCAAGGGGGGCAAGGGCACTGGAGGAGCGAGCGGGGGCGGTGGAGGTGGAGGTGGAGGCGGCGGGGGGAGTGGGGGTGGCGGTGGGAGTGGAGGTGGGGGTGGAGGTGTCGGTGGCGGTAGTGGAGGCGGAGGCGGCGGCGGCGGTGGCGGTGGGAGCGGAGGTGGCGGAGGTGGTGGCGGTGGAGGAGGCGGCGGAGGCGGCGGTAGTAGCGGAGGCGGCGGAGGCGGCGGGGGTGGCGGTGGAGCTGGTCGCGGGTCTACGCAGAGGAGTGGCTCCGGTGGTGGTCCACACCAGCTGCAGCAGCGCGGTTGTGAGACCCTGTCCCCTCAGCAGCTCCGTGAGTGGTACACTGCACGCCAGCGGGGTGGGGGTTTTGGTCCGTGCACCTACGTCCTGCGCACCGGCGACCGTGCGGGTGAGCAGTGTGGGGGTGCGCACCCCACCCAGCGCTGCTTTAGCCGCCTGACGGACGCGTGGCGTCACCAGTTCCCGGAGGCCACAGAGATCCCTCGCTGGGGCGAGCTGTCTAGGGCGGGAGTTGCCATCTATGATCTTGATTTTGATGCTATCCTTTCTGCCATGTATGCTGTGTCTATTAGTGATGAGGGGGACTGTTACCGGTGTTTCCCGCCCGACCCAGGCATTGAGACTACTGCTCTAGGTACTGGTGAGGCTGCTGCTCTAGGTGCCAGTGAGGCTGCTGCTCTAGGTGCCAGTGCGTCTGCGTCCTCAGGTGCTGGTGAGTCTGCGCTCGCAGGTACCGCGTCGGCTTCGGCCTCCCTCACCTTCACACTTGACTCAGGGGCTTCTTGCTCCTTCTTTCGAGACCGCACCACACTCACGCCGCTTGGTCGGCCGATTGCAGTCTCCCTGGCAGACCCCTCTGGGGGTCCTGTCCTTTCTCACTTCTCCAGTGTCCTCCCATGTCAGGCGGCCCCCTCTGGCACCTTGTCTGGTCTTTACCTCCCCTCGTTCTCTACGAACTTGGTGAGTGGTGCTGACCTACAGGATGCGGGGGTTCACCAGTTTACTCCTGCGAGTCAGCGGGTGACTCACTGCTCGGACGCTCGCACAGGCCGGCACCTGGCCACGTTTACGTGTCGGCCGGGGTTTAGGTGGCTGCGTCTACACCCTGACCACTGAGTCTCCTCCTGTCCCTGCGTCTGGTCAGGTGGCTGCGTCGGGTCAGGTGTTTGCTGCAGCGTCCAGGTCTGGTCCTGAGTCTGCCCCCTGCTCGTGTCGCCTCCTGTCTCACGAGACTCTCCTCTGGCACCACAGCCTTGGTCACCCCTCCCTGCCTCGTCTCCGAGGCATGGCCTCCCGTGTCCTTGTCTTTGGTCTTCCCCGGTCCATCCCTCCCCTTCCTCCGGGGCCTGGCCCCACCTGCGTCCCCTGTGTCGAGGGGCGGCTGCAGACTGCCCCTCTCTCCTCTCAGTTTCCCCCGACAGAGGCCCCGCTGCAGACGCTTCACATGGACGTGTGGGGCCCGGCCCGCATCCGTGGACAGGGTCACGAGCGCTACTTCCTGCTGGTGGTTAACGACTACTCGCGTTACACCACAGTCTTCCCCTTGCGCAGCAAGGGTGATGTCACTGAGGTGTTGATCGACTGGATCCGCGCAGCTCGTCTCCAGCTCAGGAGGAGCTTCGGCTCGGACTTTCCTGTTCTGCGTCTGCACTCTGACCGAGGCGGAGAGTTCTCCTCTGGCCTTCTGCGAGCCTACTGTCGTGCGCGAGGTATCCGCCAGACCTTTACGCTTCCGGACTCTCCACAGCAAAATGGGATTGTTGAGCGCCGCATTGGCATGGTCATGGACGTCGCCCGTACGTCCATGATGCATGCGGCTGCCCCCCATTTTCTG